CACAGAAGAGAGACAATCAACATAGCACTTAGGACCTAAATCAAGTATAGCATTTAGGACTTACAAAGTAAAGCCAGCCTGAACCCTAAGAACAACTAAACAATAGTGAAGAAGTATCTGGGCAGATGCAGTAAGTCAGCAAAGTTACTATTCATGCTGCTCTCAGACCAGAAGACTGGTATGTGCTCCAATTTACTTAGTGTGCCCTGTGCAGATAGGTAAGGGTTCAGAGAGGAGTCCTTAAAAACAAGCAAAGAACAAACATTCCATGCCACAGAAGGCAGAAAGGATGAGCATATAGCCTCCCTGATCAATTCCCTACCTCATCAAAACAGGCCAGAGAAAAGACACACACTTCCCAACTGCCCGGAGCTATATAATGTGATATATGGTCAAAACCCACGGTGAAAGAAAGCAGACAGATGTCTAGCTACGCCTTGGCAGGCAGGAGAGGAAGCAGGTGTGTGGACTGTGACAGCATGGAAGCATGAGCAAGGTTTGCATGTAAGGATGCTAAAGGCTGGACCAACCAAAGCTAAGAGGGTGAGAAGAGCAAGCAAGCTGTATTCCAGCACAAGTTTCCTTCCCTTTGCTTGCACAGGCTAACATCCTCATTAGCTCAGCTGAGAGGAGCAGGCAGCATTCTAACTAGACAGACGAAGCACAACAAGAGGAAAGCAATACTCTGAGACACAGGAATGGGACGGCTTTCCTCACATTAAGATGCCAAATCTCCCAGCAAGCTCATCAGGTGTGTACACTTATTCCCAATACATACATAAGGAAGCTCAGGTACACTCCAGTTAATAAAGATCCCATTATTGTGGAGTTAGAAAAATACAAATCACACTAGATATTTCCAAGACTAGAACTCTCTCGCTGGGGGTTCGGCAGGAAGATGGATAGCTGTCTGAGCCAGACATGATGTACATTCCTAAACTCACAGCTGGAAGATTTCAGTTTAAGGCCAGTCTGGGCTACAGAATGAGACCATGTCTCAGAACAAGCAAGCAAACAACCAGCCCTGTTTAGATACAACTGTGCTCCTCTTAGAATCAGAAGGATACCACAAATCCTACTATCCCATCACGTCATCAGCGGCATAGCAGCATGGTACCTGGGAGCCATAGTGACTCAGCAAGCGTAGGAAATCAGAACATTAAATAATCTCTTACCTTTTTTAGCTCTACATTTTTTTTAATGCATTACCTATTGTTTCAGACAATATGAGGCCCAGATGTAAGCAAATGAGAAAGAAAAAATACAAATAATTTTTTTAGCTTGTACATTTTATGCAGCAAATGGCCACACTTTGGGTTGTCTGTATGGATGCTCTGCAAGTACCTACAGAGGACTGACAGATGGACAGACGCACAAAAAAAAAAAAAAAGCAAGCTGAGCTGATCCTCATGGCACACAGCCAGATATCTCATTTTCTCTTAGAACTCTGTGTACAAAGTATGCCAGGCTGTTTCTACAGACTGCTTTGCCATAGATGACAGCCCAATAAAATAGAAACTAATGATTAACTTTTGCTCCCTAGAAGCAACTGAATAAGAAAAAGGTATTTCCTGAATAACCTGTGCATAGATAGGGAAAGCTGACGAAAACTAAGTTCTCCAAGGCAGTTTTAAAACTATTTGCTATAAGCTAGTCCTGGAGCTACCATGAGCACAATCACTAAAGAGGTCAGGTTCTGGGTCAAAATGTTTACATAGGCACTCAGGGTCAAAATTCTCCATGAAGACGTCTATTTCTAACTTTGCTTTTGAACCACCTGGAATCTGGACAGCGGCTGGAGTCTTCCAGGACTAAGTCTCTGGCACAGGCAATGCTGTGGGATTAATGGTTATACTCCAGGTTCTGTGCCAAGCACTAACGATATGCAAGCCATTAGAAGAAAGGCAAACAAGTTAGACCCTCAGAGAAAAATAGGAGTTGGTCAAGCCAGAGGAGCCTCTATAGCTGCAAGAATTGCGGAGCCCAAATCCCAGAATTCCCTAGGGATCTGCTGATTCAAATGGCAGCAGATACTGGACAATTTCCAACCTGCTGAAAGCCTAAGAAAACTCAATTTGCAGACCCCTCCAAGGAGTCTCCATGGTGGATCCCCTGGTCTCCCAGACGGTGCCTTGACGAACTGGCAATGGGTTGGAGAAGGACTAAAGCTCTGCTTCTGACACTTGAGTTCCTAACTGGTTAGGCTAATATGACACAAAGACAAAGGTAAAGACTCTAGAGAAAGATCGCACCGGCTAGATCTCAAAACTCACCTCAGTTTCCCACAAGAGAGGTCTGTTATTCAGTCAGAAATAATCACATACATATGAAAACGAAACATGGCCAAACAACAAGAACAAGAGACGAAGATAAACATGATAGGTAGACATTTCTTAACAGGTGCACACACTGCAAACTGCCGACTGTGGGGCTGAGCAACAGGTCATCTGTGATGCTCTCCCCTCTTCCAGAGGGCAGGAGTTTGAGTTCCAGCACGAACACGGCTTTCAATAGTCTCTAACTCCAGTTCCAAGGGATCTGATGCCCCCTTCTGACCTCCATGTAAACAACACACACACTTGGTGCACACACATCCATGCAGGTAAAGTACTTGTGTATATGAAATAAGAGTAAAAAAAATATTTTGAATGACTGAAAACCACAGTAAAATAGCACTAAACATTAACCAGAACTGCTGAAAGTGTCAAATACTGACAACACCAAATGTTGATAAAAACAACTTTTGTTCTTTTATCTTCTTTCTTTGATTAAAAAGAGAGAAAAACAGCTACATAGGTTCCAATTATCATATTTTTTATTTCTCTGGACTTACGTAACATTTCATAGTTAAAAGTTTTAAAAGGAACTGAAAGTTTTGTCTAAAGAACATCTTTTAGCTTTCAGAGTCATATTTATTTCTTTATTTTACAGACAGTAAGAAGCCATTCAGAACCAGGTATACTGGGCCAGCCTGGGCTATATAGTGAGTTCTAAACAAGACTGGGATATGCAATAAGACTATCTGAAGGGGGAGGGAGAAAAAGAAGGATGGAGAGAGAGAGAGAGAGAGAGAAAGAGAGAGAGAGAGAGAGAGAGAAAGGGAAGGAGGAAGAGAGAGGGAGAAAGGGAGAAAGAGAGAGAGGGAGGAGGGGGGAGGGAGGGAGTGGGAGCATATGCATGAATCTGAGTGGGAAAGTATCAGTATTAGATTTAGTCTGCACAAAGACCATTCAAGATGCAAGGCAGCAGACAGAGCGAAGGCAAGGAGTTCACCCGGGAGACTGACGACAGACACTGATGACACCGTGTCGACTGCAGACAGAGAGCTATGAAGATCCCCATGATGGCATCAATGATTTGGGGTTTAGTTCTCAAAATGGTTGAACTATAACCCCAACAAATCAGAAAGCAAAAGAGGCCATGTGAAAAAGACTAGAATAAATGGGACAATTTCACAGAACAAGAGTGACATAAGGAAATAGTCTGCAACAGCTGAAAGGAAAAATGTGAATTCTTCTACAAATCCTGAGGAGAAAGTCAGGCCATTACAGAAGTGAAAGCCAATGAGCTCTGAGCTCCACACCAGAAGCTCAGATAGATACATTCACAACTTGCCAAGATTCTGGAGCCTTGCACAGCCCCTTCCAAGCATGCAGATGCTTTAATCTTACAGGGAAAATCTATTTCTGCCTCTGACAGCAAACGCCAAGTCACGTCTTGCCAGTGGGGAGAGCGGCTGCTCCTAGTACAGACTCCCCAAGTTTACACAATCTTATTCTCACTTGGAGACACAGGTTGTTTGACCATTACATCTACCAGTCCTGCCAGAAAGGAAAAGAAAGGGCAGGTAGAGTTTCTAAAGAATTCTTCTTTTTCATTTGCACTCCTGAAAAAGTAGATATATATCTTTAGATTATTCATGATCAGCACTCATATTTTTCTGTGAAAACAAATTAAGCATATCAAACAGAAACTTATCCGAACAGTCTGAAAATGTTCTGAGGCATGGAGTCCAACAGGTTTTTCAGTAACTCTAAATTGGCTAACCTTTGAATGAGAAGCAACTGAAGAATTAATGTTCTTTATCATTGTTTTCTGTGCATTACCAGTGGGGCTCGTTTTAATACTGTTCTTCAGTCAGCTTGATGAATATCCATTCCCAATGTGTTCAAAGACAACAAGTATTCAGAGATGTTCTTTGTAAAGGAGGTACTGTCCAAACACATGCTCGTATCAAAATTTTTACGGTACTGGAGAGCATGGTTTTAGAGGCAAAGAATTTGCCAATGAAGGGGATAAGAACCCCACAGGAGGATCAGCCAACTAACCTGGACTTCTGGGAGCTCTCAGACACTGAGCCACCAACCAAAGAACCAGACGGGCTGGAACAAGGCTCCCGGCACACATGTAACAAACATGCAGCTCAGTCTTCATGTGGGGTCCCCAAAACCTGGAGCAGAGTTTTCTCTAAAGCTGTAGCCTAACTGTGGTATCCATTCACCACAGGGCTGCCTTGTCTGGTTTTAGTGGGAGAGGATGTGTGTGGCTTGGTTTCTGGTGGAGCACCGGCTAGAGATGGCCAGAGACCCAATAGGTATCCCTGCAAGGGACAGCATACATTTCGCCACACTCCAACTCCAGGTTCCATGAAAAAAAACATCTTAACAGTTAATATTGAACAGAAAAATATGTATCTTAAGAGTTAATATTAAAACATTAATGAATGTTGCAGCTATTTATAATAATACACTTTGCTCAAATTTATGAGATGAAGCATAGGTAAATCCCCAAAATAGTTAGCATTGTCACAATCCACTGGCACATAAAGTAAGATACTTTTATAAAGGGCTCTAAAGCTGAAACAAGAGATATATACACGGTAGTCCTTTAGGGAAATGTAAGGTTAATGTCAAGACCAGTGCATGAAATCCTTGCTGTTGTCTGCTTAGAGGACAAGTGTCACCCCATCAAGATACAAGCCTATTCTACAAGATACTCACCGGGTTGAGTGCTTCCTCAGCAGAATGGTGAACAGTCCACCAGTCTGAGGTCCACTCCCATGCGTTCCCCACTATGTTATATAAGCCATAGCCATTGGGAGGAAAGGCATCAACCTAAAAGTAAAGGGAACAACATTGACCAATTATTCACCTTGCTATAAAAAAATCTCTCTGGTACATGAATGAACCAAGACCTATTTATTTCAGGATATGAATGCCAATTTTCATGTCTACCTACCAAAAACCAGTCTGGAAGACTAAATATAAAAATCTCAGGCCCCTCTGTTTTGTTTTTTACTTTAAGCATTCAAAGGGGGTTTATAAATCTAAGAGGAGTTTATTAGATCGCCTGGAACTGATGAGGTCATTTTTTTTGATGAGGTCATTTTTAATAGAAATAATAGTGACTAACACTAAGTACCAAGGCTTTACTAGTATGGGAGAGAGGGTGCATGTGAGAATACACGTGTGTGTGTGTGTGTGTGTGTGTGTGTGTGTGTGTGTGTGTGTGTATGTGGGGGTACAGACAAACAGTATTTAGACCTTCAAAATCATTAACAGAAAGGTTCTCCTAGTATCAATTAAAGTCACTAAAAAGCAGCTTTTCCAGCCAAATAAGTCTTTCACACCATGGATTCCACATTAACTCTGCCCTCTCCTCAAGCTCCATCTAGTCGGCCACTTTCTTTTTGATCTTCAGTCACTGTCATTAAATAAGGAAAATGTCAGCTCATTAACTCATGTGTTCCTAACAGCAGGTCTCTGGAATGTAGCAGTCTGCAGTAAATTATACATCCACCAAGGAATCATGGCACAATTGAAAGGCAGGTCAGACAGTACTGGATAACACCCACAGGCATGGAAGCAAGGTGCAGCTTATGTAAGACAGAGGGCAAGAGGAGAAAACACACACTGAACCACAGTAAAGTCAGGTCACTGGCCAGTTTCATGACTTAAAAATGTTCCCAACCAGGACTGAGGGTTTAGCTCAGTGGAGGAGCTTGTAAGGTGAGGTTCGAGGTTTGGTCCCCACAATAGGCAGGGAAGGGGGATACAGTAAAAACCAAAGTCACAAATATAAAAAACAATAACAAAAAAATCCTTGGGGAAAAAATTCTTTTATCCTTCTTTTCAGTAGACATTTTTTTAAAACTATGTGTGATTATTTTTGGAGATTTTTTTCTCTCTTCATAATTCATACTTTTCCATACTGAAGAAGTAAGACTGTAAGAATGAATAAACTAACATTCATGTCTAAGTGGCTTCAGATGGTTTTACATCTACTCATGAATATGGAAGCACCTGCTGGTTGGGCAATTCAGTGCATTTTAATCCAAGTTAGGAAGCCACACTGAAAAGCAGTTCATGGAGATGAGCTGGAAAGTCAAACCCCTACCATGCTGCTTCCATAATGAGCGTTTGCTATGGAAACAGCCTTGGCTCATTCAGAAATGCCATGTGCGGCCAGTATGGGCGGGGAGGGGCTCAGTAGCATGTGAGTTCTTAAAGAGTTTAATGAAGGAAGAAAAAGGAGAATGCCTCAAACTACAACTCAGCTCTAAAGAGCTGAGCATGACAGGCATGCAGGCAACGCCGCCATTTGGGAGGTGGAGGCAGGAGGATCAAGACTGTCCTAGACTACATGGTGAGTCTGAGGACAGCTGGGGTCACATCAGACACTCACACTCACTCTCCTTCTCTTTCACTACAGCTCTACACAGCAGAATGGGACAGAGAAAGTATGAGGATAGAAAAGGCCACACAAATCCAAGGCACAAACTCCAGCGGGATGACCTAAGCACGCCCTGGAGTACGGCTCTATGATCCAAATACAAGACACAAGAGGAAGGGGAGGCCACAGCATAAGCTATTTAAAACATGGAGGGAACAGAATGAGCCCCCTGGACTAAGCTGGAAAGAATGAAAAAGAGAAGAGATGAGTAGGCAAGGTTGAGAAAGTGAAAGATACTATGAGGCAGAGGGAATAAGAAACTGAAACACATTCTAGAGGAAGAGATCCATCTCCAGGCTTCTAGAAGGTACACACAGAGATGCTCTCAAGAATCTGTGCTAGCCTTCGTAGGTGCTGTTGGTCCTCAACAGGGAAATAAAAGTACCAATCAAAGGTTTGCCCTCCCCCTTTAAATAAGAGAATATCTGAAGTAAAATCTAGAGGTTAGCACCCTTTTAATTACTAGCTTATTATTTGTGAGTATGTCAGTATGGGAAATGAAATTTTCACTGCTCAAGGTCATATGTATCACACTAACTAACCAAAGCTTCCTCCCAGGAACCTCAGATGAAAACAAGTGGACAAGACAAATCCTTCTTGAAATGCTAAATTTCAGGCACATGAGCTGCTAAGCATTAAAACCAAAAATGAATTAGTGATGTGTAACAGTGGAATAGCAAAATAGCTATCTAGCTCCCTAGGCTCACAGTGCACAACAATCAGAGGTGTCTGATGCTAGCCTGACCCTGTCTTAAAAATGAAAACAAACCAGTAAAGTTAGATTCCTATCCTCGTACAACTGTGGTGGGTTGTACAGGTACGGACCCCACGGATTCATGTGTTTGAATGTTCATGTGTTGGCCATAGGGAACGACACTATTAAGAAGTATGACCTTATTGGAGGACGTGTGATGATGTTGAAGGAAGTATGACACTGTGTAGGCAGACACTGAGGTCTCCTATAGACAGGCTTTGCCCAGTGTGGAACATAGTCTCCTCCTGGCTATCTTTGGATCAAGATGTAGAATTCTTTGCTCCTTGGTACTACTTGTGCCTGGATGTTGCCACGCTTCCCACCATGACAATAATGAACTGTAAGAAACTGCAATGAAACTGTAAGTCAGCTACAATTAAATTTTGTCCTTTATAAGAGCTGCCTTGGTCATAGTGTCTCATCACAGAAATGGAAACCCTAACTAAGACAATACAAAGGACAATTTGGGTCAATCCAATGTCATTTTTGTACACATCAACTCAACTTAAAGACACATAACATAGATGTGACCCATCTGAAGCCTTCCTCATCCTTGATCAAGTCTAGTTTCAGAATGGGTTCCTTCAGAGCTGCTGGTAACTGTAACAATTTTATCTTGCTAACTGGGGAGCAACGTCTTTAGGTAAGTTCTGCAGACATCTGTTGACCCCTCTGTCAAACACTAATGCCAAACGATGGAAGGGCAGAGCAGGGATTTGTGTAGCTTAGTGCGCTAGGGTGGTTCTAGGTCCAATCCCCAGAACCACAATAAAGGTTAATAAAATAGACATCTGTAGAGAGTGCTTATCTCATATTGATTGCTCTGTCTCTGTGTCTCTACCTGTCTCTGTGTGTGTGTGTGTGTGTGTGTGTGTGTGTGTGTGTGTGTTTCCGGCCCTCTGAGCTTTATGTTGTTTAAAAATGTACCCAGAAATGACTCCTTATTTCTTCTTCTCCTCCTCCTTCTTTCAGCTCACTTAATTAAATGTACATACAATACTATGGTGGTAATCACAGGAAATATCTGTAAGTGTCCAAAGCAGCTTTATCGTAGCCTCTTACTATAACTGACTAGGGCTTACATCTTTGATCTGGCTCATTATAGCTACCACAGACTTCTTCAAACAACAGAGACAATGGTAGCTATCGCCTGTACCTCTGGGGTGGAGCCTGCCCATCTCTAAGGACAAAACGATCCGGTTCAACAGCTGAGCATGTGGACACTTCTGTACTTTGGCCTTCACAGCTCTCGTGTGAAAGCTGTTACTATAACAACTAAGGTCTACTCCATCTGAGCAATGCTCTAGATTTGGGGTTTACTGCAGCTGCTGTAGGTGGCACCACGTGCTTTGAGGGAGACTCCTCCTGCCAAGGTCCCACTTCCTGTCAGGTACCTCCATATTTTCTTATCCAGAGAAGGTTGGAAATGATTTTGACAGGCAATGCTATCCATTTCAGTGCTACCTGCACCTATAGGTGAAGCTACTTCCCTGCTCTCTGTAACAACTAACATCTTTTTAATTACATTTTTTGAGAAAGAGAGGGGGAGGGGAGGGGAAGGGGAGGAGAGGGGGAGGGAGTGGGAGAGGGAGAGGGAGAGGGAGAGGGAGAGGGAGAGGGAGAGAGAGAGAGAGTGTGTGTGCCCACTCACATACCACACAATATACAAGTCAGAAGACAGTTAATGAAAGTCTATCTTCTTCTAACATAGATCCCAGGTATCTAACTTAGATCATGATGCTATCTTTACATACTGGCCATCTGACTGGCCCAGACAACAAAGGCCTTTCCTGAAGTTTGACACACAGTCACGTCAGGCACCACTGACATTTTGCTCGAGCACCACTTCTGATGGCCAAGAGGATCCCTAGAAGTCCTCACTCCATGCCCTACCCCTACCAAAAGGCTTGGCTTGTTATCCATTTAAAGCATGAAGAAAGGTAGAAATCATTGCCTTCTAAGTCTTCAAATGCTTTCCAAAGAAAACTATGTGTCTGGTAGAGGAGCAGCTATCATGAAGGAAGTTTAGGAGGAACCAGCTACCAGATGGCTTGATTTGCCTTTTCTGCCTTACTGAATAATGCATCATCTCCCATCAGTTTGTGTTGGCTTAACATATATGTAACTCACATACATGGAATTGGATACAAACACGAATGCATCATGTGCTTATGGAGGACTAAGTATCCTCAAGCAACTTGTTTTTTTAACTAAATTCTGCTCCAAACGCTACAATGCCAATGACAGCTCAAACAGATTTTCAGTTTCTCTTAGATCAGGTGCCTCTGCGCTCTTCCTTTTCCCAGAATTTCTTGGTCTTTTACTCTCATTTATTTAGTTTTCAAGCTGAGATTTTCTAACCATTTGGTTACATTCCAAATAACATATCTGTGTCAAATGTATAAATACACTCTGCAAGAAAATTTTCTCGAGGAAAAAAATGCAAATTTTAAGAAGGAGAAGGAGGGAGGGGGG